TCTCTTATACACATCTAGATGTGTATAAGAGACAGGGGGTAAAGGGAGGAGAGGGAGGAGAGGGAGGAGAGGGAGGAGAGCGGGGGTGCGCAATTTGCCATACCAACCTATCAGTAAATCAGGTTGTGTTGTTCCCAAATCCCAAACGGACAGTCACGTGCTGTTTCCTTTTGCACTCTTCCCAGCACAGTGATTCATGTCCCCCCCTTCCTGGCCCAATTCTTACCTACCCCTTCCTCCCCCCCCCCCTCCTCCTCTTCCCACAACAGAACAGAACTTCTATTTCTGTCCTTGGGTATTATGTTCGTTGAATTTCAAACAGTTGACCCGGGGCGAGGTCCCACTCGCAACAAGGATTGTATGGAATGCATGAATCTAGACCTGTTCGCGAAGAGGTGCAGAATTTCAAGATGGAACTGCTTTTCTGCATCTCGGCTTCCAACACGTCCAGATTCAGGAGCTCAGTCCAATCCTCTTTGCTAATGGGACCTCGCCCCCGAAGATCAGCAATGCCCCCCCCAATTTTGCTTTTGCGAACGGAGAAAGAAGGAAAAAGGGCAAGAATCCCTTTGGTACCAGAAAAAGGTTTGGCCCCTAATCGGTTTTCTTCAACATGTCTGGTGTGTGTCCCCTGTGCGGCACTTCTCTCTCCTTCCCATCTTCTACTCGGAAATTTGGAAATGAATCATAGGGCATCTTGGGGACAAGACTTGCTGCTCCTGGACTAAGGACACGTGCACTGAAAAAATAAGTTCTGACCAGATTCATACAACAAGATGGGATCATGGCCCATGAGAGAGGAGGAGGAGGAGCAGGAATTCGGTAGGCTTGCCCAGAACACATAACTAGATGAACTACTGAGGGAAGTATCATCGCTGTGTCGGCTGCTGTGTACGAGGGATGCGAGAGGAAGAGAGGGACAGATGGAATCAGATGGAGACGGAGACGAGTGGAAGCCTTAGGAGAGCAGACTCGGAGGAGGCAGAGAGGAAACGAGAGAGGAAGAGGAAGAGAGACACGGAAGCAGATAGATACACGGAGAGAGAAAAGACGTCTGGAGACTGGAAGAAGGGGGAAGAGAAGAAAGGATAGAAGAAAAGTGGGGGGAGGGAGGGTGGGTACTGGAGAAGGGTAAATGGAGAGGGGAGAGGGAGGGAGGGAGGGAGGTAGCTGGACGGAAACATGCGACGAAAGGCCCTGGGAGGGATGGAAGTAGACACTAGGGAGTCGTCGGGGAGTGGAGGAGGAGCGAGCGATGGACATAGAGACAGGGTGAAGAAGCTGAAAGGGTGAGAGGTAGAAAGTGTTGAGACTCGAGAGTGAAGGGGGGGACATAACGATTGACCCTATTCGATCGATCGAGAGAGAGAGAGAGAGAGAGAGAGAGAGAGAGAGCTTTCGTTTGAAGATTGCAATTCTTTTGTGAAGCATTGTGATGACACCTTGGATGTACTACTCCCTTCTCGAAGATTGTTTGAGATTACCTGGAGCCAGGGGCAAACTACCTGAAGATGTTTCCATGCCAATTTGGCCAATTGGCAAATGGTTTATTCAATGGAGGGCCCGTGACATGTACCAACAGGGAGAAGCATGTGTAGGAAAGTAAGGTGCCAAAGGAGAAGTGCAAAAAAGCTCAATGACATGCGTTCTTTTGGGGATCTGGGGTGGACTTGCAGGGTATGCGGACCCTCCGCCTGCCCCTCTTCCTCACTCTCCCAATGGCCCATCTTGCCACATGTATCAGACAACAGTCCTTGCAGTGCAAGAAAAAAATTATTGGGGAACACAGATTTTGAAAAGGGGGAGAATTTAAAAGGGGTTATTGCTTATTCTACTTCTAGCCAATTAGGTTTATAACTTTATATGATATTGAAGATATTCGCTTTTGGTATCTCCAATTGTTTTCTGTGAGTCTATTTCATCTGATGAACCATGGTATTTTGAAAGCATTACTTTTTTGAGTGCAGGTTCAGTGATTCATGCAATGTCTGCTGAACAAGATTTTCGCAAACTCGGAGGATTAGTTTCTTTGTTACCTTTTACTTCCTCTCTCTCTCTCTCCTGTCTCTTATACACATCTAGATGTGTATAAGAG